TGACCCCTACATTGGTGGCCAGTGTAAAAGAGACCACCTACATTGGTGGCCAGTGTAAAAGAGACCACCTACATTGGTGGCCAGTGTAAAAGAGACCACCTACATTGGTGGCCAGTGAAAAACTGACCCCTAAATTGGTGGGCAGAGAAAAAGTGACCCCCTATATTGGTGACCAGTTGAGCATCCCTCTTACATTGATGACCATTGAGGAAATAGTCCCTTACATTGGTGGACAGTGTAGGAATGATCCCTAACGTTGGTGGTCAATGTAGGAATGATCCCTTACGTTGGTGGTCAGTGTAAGAATGATGCCTTCCCTTGGTGGTCAGTGTAGACGTGACCCCTTCCCTTGGTGGTCAGTGTAGACGTGACCCCTTCCGTTGTTGGTCAGTGTAGACGTGACCCCTTCCGTTGGGTGGTCAGTGTAGTGTAGACGTGACCCCTCACGTTGGTGGTCAATGTAGACGTGACCCCTCACGTTGGTGGTCAGTGAAAACGTGACCCCTCACGTTGGTGGTCAGTGTAGACGTGACAGTGTAGTGTAGACGTGACCCCTCACGTTGGTGGTCAGTGTAGACGTGACCCCTCACGTTGGTGGCCAGTGTAGACGTGACCCCTCACGTTGGTGGTCAGTGTAGACGTGACCCCTCACGTTGGTGGTCAGTGTAGACGTGACCCCTCACGTTGGTGGTCAGTGTAGACGTGACCCCTCACGTTGGTGGTCAGTGTAGACGTGACCCCTCACGTTGGTGGTCAGTGTAGACGTGACCCCTCAAGTTGGTGGTCAGTGTAGACGTGACCCCTTCCGTTGGTGGTCAGTGTAGACATGACCCCTTACATTGGTGGCAAGTTTAGAATCCTCCCTTACATTGATGGTCAGTTCAGAAGTGACCCCTTGCATTGGTGGTCAGTGTAGAAACGATACCCTACAATAGTGGTCAGGGTAGATGTGACTCCTTACATTGGTTGTCTGTATAGAGTTGACACCATACATTGGTGGCAAGTTTAGAATCCCCCCTTACATTGATGGTCAGTGCAAAAGTGATCACTTGCATTGGTGGTCAGTGTAGAAATGATCCCCTACAATGGTGGTCAGTGTAGAAATGATCCCCTACAATGGTGGTCAGTGTAGATGTGACCCCTTACAATGGTGGTCAGTGTAGATGTGACCCCTTACAATGGTGGTCAGTGTAGATGTGACCCCTTACCCTTACAATGGTGGTCAGTGTAGATGTGACCCCCCTTACATTGGTGGTCAGTGTAGATGTGACCCCTTACATTGGTCAGTGTAGATGTGACCCCTTACATTGGTGGTCTATGTAGATGTGACCCCTTACATTGGTGGTCTATGTAGATGTGACCCCTCACATTGGTGGTCAGTGTAGATGTGACCCCTTACATTGGTGGTCTATGTAGATGTGACCCCTCACATTGGTGGTCAGTGTAGATGTGACCCCTTACATTGGTGGTCTATGTAGATGTGACCCCTTACATTGGTGGTCTATGTAGGCAGTAGATCAATCTGCCACAAGGAATCCCTTCTCAAGGAACCCCTAATAATGTCTGGAGGAACCCCAAGTTTCCACAGAACTCTAGCTCTGAGAAAGATTAGTCTATGAGTTGCATGGATGTTTCTTTCTAGGAAATGACAACATGTGTTGAACCTGTCTGTAGCAGTCAACTGTCTTCTGTAACATGTACAGATCAAAGCAGGTTTTAGGCTGGTCATACATTATACAATTTTCTTGAGATTTTTGGTTTAATTTTACAAAAATCATATAATATGAGGTCAAACCTTAACAACACTTTCAATTGTATCCAATTAGGCAGACCCTTGCACTACATAGTTGAAGGTAAATCTAAAGGAATTTGGGCAGAAATTGGACAGAAAATTGTATAGTGTATGGCCAGCCTTAGGTAATGGTTGTGGTCACAAAGTCTGTCGAGTTGTAGGTACATATATAAAACCTATGGCTGCCAAGTGTTGGTTACAAGTACGGGTGAGGAGGATGTATGGATCACAGCTGCACGGATCTCTAGAACACAGCATTGACCAATCACAAACATGTAACAGATGGAGGTAAAACACAAGCAGAGATGGCTGTACCTTTGCCAAGAGCATTCTCATAGCACTGACAGGAGAGGGCTCGATATCCACCAGCGGGACAGCACTAAAGCTCTGTGCCAAGACAGCGGGCAGAGGACAGAAACACAGACAGCACACAGGTTAGAAGACACACAGGCTGTGGTAGGTCTCAGATGGGTTATACATGCTACTATTAACCAATCACATTACAGATCACTGGACATAGGAGAAGGTCTAGGCTTGCTAATAGGAAAAAAGAAAGTTAGAACATACATAATCAAATCTGAAGTTTATATCTTTTAAAGGTAAAAATGAAGACCAAAAAGGATTTTTTTTTCCCTAAAAAGCAGATTTAGGTCCTGTGTCAGCAGGCTTTGGGCTAGAGTCTATGGCGTCAGTTCTGAGATCATTCCCACTTCATTGACAAGAGCAGTTGACCTGCAGTGGATCGCCTTTAGACATGCTTCAAATGGGATTTTATTTCCATAGATTTGCATGGGAAGGCACAACACAAGGGAAGCAAACAAACACCCGATGACACTGGTTGAATCCAATTCAGGTAGCTTTGTAGTATGACGACTTACCTGCATCCTTTGGGTAGGTCATCACACTACATTGTAACACGTGAGGTCAGCGTTAAGGGCAACTCTAAGCAAAAACCTTTTTCTTTAGTTTTTGCCCGCTGCCCTATAGTTGAACTACTGCTACAGGGCGGCAGGGCTGCGCAAAATCACATATATATATATATATATATATATATACACACACACACGTGATTTGCATTTCTAGGTAGGGGCGCGCTTGCCGCCCTACCTGTGCCGCCATTGGCGGCTACAGATGTCAATCACCAGGTCCCAGCTGGAGATTCCCGACCAGCACCTGGCAATCATCGGGGAAAGTTGTGTGTGTAAACAACACAGGTCTCTCTCCTGCACAGCATGGACATGCTGCTTTGTATTTCTCTGCACAGCACAGAAATACAAAGCAGCATGTCTCCCAAGTAAAACACAACACAGCACATTATGTAAAACCGCACAGTTAACCCTTTGATCGCCTCCAGAAGTTAATCCCTTCCTGTCCAGTGTCATTAGTACAGTGTTAGTGCTTTTTATTAGCATTGATCACTGTATTAGTGTCATTGGGATGTCAGTGGCAGTTAGTTCCCCCCTCCCCAGTGTCTGAATGCCCGCTGCAGTTCCGCTATAAGTCGCTGATTGCCACCACTAGTAGTCCAAAAAAATCTAAAAATTCCAGTATATATACCGCCATTTGTCGACGCTATAACTTTCACGTAAACCAATTAATTTACACTTATTGGGATTTTTATTGTTTTTTTAAGCAAAGACATGTAGCAGAATACATTTTGGCCTAAATTTATGAAATTTGATGTTTACATTTTTTTTTTACTGAACATGTTTTATACCAAAATGTCAAAAATATTGTTTTTTTTTCTCTCAAAATTGTCAGTTTTTTTGTTTATAGTGCAAAAAATAAAAACCGCAGAAGGGATCAAACACCACCGAAAGAAAGCTCTATTTGTGGGGGAAAAAGGACATACATTTAATTTTTGTACAGCGTTGCATGACAGCGCAATTGTCAGTTAAACTAACGCAGTGCCATGTTGCAAAAAATGGCCTGTTCAGGAAGGGGTTAAATCCTCTGGAGGGCAAGTGGTAATCAGTGGGCAAGGGATGGACTCCCTGTTAAGTTTCTACTTCAGTCTCCATTCTTGTTGGGGTGATTTGTACTGGTGATGACAAACTGTAGAGATGTCCTCAGAACTAGAGGTAAACTTTTTTTTTGAAGTATACTGTGTGCCACCAAATGACAGGTGCTCTTTAAGCTGACCCCGACAATGCCCAAATTAGCTATAATAAAATATTGCTGCAAATGCAATCAGAATTTGCCGATCTGCTGCCAGCCTTGCCTCTTGGTCTCCCTGTGTAGGGATGCCTTGTGATAGCATGTAAGTGCACCCGTTTTCCTACGCTTTGTATTTACTTTTTTTCTAAAAATACGTTTGTTTCAATTATGTGTAAAATGATATATTTAAGGATATCTCCTGTTGTATGTTTTTATAGTTAGGTCATACTCCTGTAAATCCTAACTGAAGGTCCTGAGGAAGCACATATGTGAAACGCGTTGACCTCTTTGGATTTCATAACGCTGCCCCAAACTACCTCACCGACCTGATACCCAAATACCACCCAACCCGTAATCTTCGCTCCTCACGAGACCTTCTACTTTCTAGCTCCCTGGTCTCCTCCTCCCACGCCCGACTGCAGGACTTCTCCAGGACTTCCCCCTTCCTCTGGATCTCACTACCCCAATCCATCAGACTGTCGCCTACCCTCCTCACCTTTAGGCGCACCCTGAAAACCCATCTCTTCACCTAAGAGCCGATCTCCTCCACTCCACCCACCACTCCATCCCCCACAGCCACTTCCTCCTGTACCACTATCCCCTCCCTCCTAGATTGTAAGCTCCAAGGAGCAGGGCCCTTGAACCCCTCGTGTATTGTTTTGTTACTGTATTGTCTCATGTTCTGTCCCCCACTATAATGTACAGCGCTGAGCAAACCTTTTGGCGCTATATAAATACTGTATAATAATAGAATAATAATAATTACTGGAATTAAAGAGTATTCTGTACTGAAGAAATGATTTATAAAATGGAGTGATAACCTTAGATTTTTTTTTTAATGACTAGTTAGTCTGGACCTTTTATGAAATGTAAAAAAATATTGATTTTTATTGAGACAAGTGGTGTGTTACCAGGTAAAGTCCGACATTTACTTTTTGATCATTAAATGACCAAATTAGAAGATAACCTCATAGTAAAGGAATGTGAACACTGCACACCAATCCACCTGTAACAGGCGACTAAAGTCCATCATGCAATGAACATCTTTTACCGTGTCACTGTCACATGGCTGGAACTGGAAGGGCTGAGCTTTGTGAAATACGGGATTCTCCTGAATAAACAGCTGCAGGTTGTAATCCCTCATCACCTGAAAGAAGAGATACAGAGAGAGAGAGAGATCAGTAACCGTGCAACACATGGTGAAGCTGGAGAGAAGTCCTGAAGCTTCTCAGACTGGAGTGCACACTGACCCGTCACCCAAGACGATTCAAATTACTCTTATGTGGGACAACTATATCAAATAAAAATGATGCGTAAAGTGCAACCAGCCTTGTCGGAGGAAAATAAACCACTGAAAAGTATTTTACCATGATGACAACAACAAAAGTTGCTCATGTAGGAGCAAGCATGCGCGGAGATGTAAAAATTGAAAGGGACTTAAAGGACCTAGCCTAAAGCTGAAAACTTTGTTCCAGATAGAGGTCAGTGGGGTAAAAAAAACTCAGCGATCATAAGAACTAGAAGAAAAAAAAAAATGCACCCTTATGGCGATAAAAGTGGATTAGATCTGTACATGTATGCATGCTATGCCTCCAAAGGTGCCCATACATGTAGAGATCTGATTAGCCATTAAGTTACTGACTTGAAGGATTACTTGAATGGGTTAGGAAAAAAAATAGTTATCCTAAAAGTGTTTTTGGATACCATGGGTAAGGTTAGACCTTCAGTCTGGTTTTTACTGCTGTCTATGTCCCCACTAAAGGAGATTCACCTAACTGTCCTGGAGACTTCTGTCACTGACACAGAAAATGATGGATATACAAAACTTTAGGCCCCATTCACACATTCGCATTTGGACGTGTGTTGAAAAGCACGTGTCTGCAAAAGGCAATGTTCTAGATGACGTGTCAAACACAAGGCCTGCCGGCAGGACCTGGCCCTCCAGGCCATTTCACATGGCCCTTGCACCTCTTTTTCAGCTGCAGCACCCCCAGCACTTGGTAGTAAACCCAAGGCTTCATGCACACTGGGGCTTTTGTAAACGCTTTTCTCCAAGCAAGAGAAAAGCAGATTCAAAATGGCGCCTAAGGTGTCTTTTTGCAAATGCGTTTAGGCACGTCAAGCGCTTGAGCAGTTATTTCATTGGCCACAATAGTATTTTTTTTGGCCATCGAAATGAAAAATATGCTCTAGTGGTAAGGCACGGTTAGACGTGTTTACATGCGTCAAGTGTTTTCTGTCCAAAAACTCCTCTCCTGAACCTAATTTTGGTGCGTTCAGATTTCTGTCCTTAAACGCCTATGTGTGCATGGACACATAGGCTAACAAAGGGGGGTGTTTGGGGGCAGGAAACCCCCCCCCCCCCCCCCCCGTCAAAAACCTGTAAACCAGGAGTGTGCAGGTACTGTGTGCATGAGGCCTAAATAGTCCTTATTGCCAAACATGAAAATCACACAGAAATGCATTAGGAAATGCCACTCCCTACCCCCACAGATTTTAGTTGTGTCCCCCCAGGTCTCAGAGTTCATTCACGGATCCATGAGCCTGTGTGATTCAAACACTTGATGTAAGGGGGCACTCTAATAGGGGACAGTAGAGTTGGGTGGGGCCCTCAGCGGAGGGAAATTGATGTAAGGGGGCACTCTGAATGGGACATTTGCTGTAAGAGGGCACTCTGATGGGGACAGTTGAGTCAAGGGGGCTCTCTGAGGACGTAAAATTATGTAAGGGGGCTCTCTGAAGAGGGAAAATTATGTAAGGGGGCAACTCTGATGAGGACAGTTGATGTAAGAGGGCAACTCTGATGGGGACAGTTGAGTCAGGGGGCTATCTGAGGAGGGCAATTGAAGTAAGGGGGCACTCTGATGGGGGACAGCTGATGTAAGGGAACACTCTGAGGGAGGCGATTGATGTAAGGGGGAGCTCTGGTGGGGGACAGCCGATGTAAGGGGGCACTCTGAGGAAGGTAACTGATGTAAGGGGGAGCCCTGGTAGGGACAGCTGATGTAAGGGAACCCTCTGAGGGAGGAGATTGATGTAAGGGGGAGCTATAGTGGGGACAGCTGATGTAAGGGGGAGCTCTGGTGGGGGGGACAGCTGATGTAAGGGGGAGCTCTGGTGGGGACCGCCGATGTAAGGGGGAGCTCTGGTGGGGACAGCCGATGTAAGGGGGAGCTCTGGTGGGGACAGCCGATGTAAGGGGGAGCTCTGGTGGGGACAGCCGATGTAAGGGGGAGCTCTGGTGGGGACAGCCGATGTAAGGGGGCACTCTGAGGAAGGTAACTGATGTAAGGGGGAGCCCTGGTGGGGACAGCTGATGTAAGGGAACCCTCTGAGGGGGAGGAGATTGATGTAAGGGGGAGCTATAGTGGGGACAGCCGATGTAAGGGGGAGCTCTGGTGGGGACAGCCGATGTAAGGGGGAGCTCTGGTGGGGACAGCCGATGTAAGGGGGGGGCTCTGGTGGGGGACCGCCGATGTAAGGGGGAGCTCTGGTGGGGACCGCCGATGTAAGGGGGAGCTCTGGTGGGGCTGATGTACAGCCGATGTAAGGGGGGAGCTCTGGTGGGGACAGCCGATGTAAGGGGGAGCTCTGGTGGGGACAGCCGATGTAAGGGGGAGCTCTGGTGGGGACAGCCGATGTAAGGGGGAGCTCTGGGGGGGACAGCCGATGTTAGGGGGGAGCTCTGGTGGGGACAGCCGATGTTAAGGGGAGCTCTGGTGGGGACAGCCGATGTTAGGGGGGGGAGCTCTGGTGGGGACAGCCGATGTAAGGGGGAGCTCTGGTGGGGACAGCCGATGTAAGGGGGGAGCTCGGGTGGAGACAGCCGATGTAAGGGGGAGCTCGGGTGGAGACAGCCGATGTAAGGGGGAGCTCGGGTGGAGACAGCCGATGTAAGGGGGAGCTCGGGTGGGGACAGCCGATGTAAGGGGGAGCTCGGGTGGGGACAGCCGATGTAAGGGGGAGCTCTGAGGGAGGCAATTGATGTAAGGGGGAGCTCTAGTGGGGACGGCTGATGCAAGGGGAGCTGATGTAAGGGGGAGCTCTAGTAGGGACAGCTGATGTAAAAGGGAGCTGATGTAAGGGGGAGCTCTAGTGGGGACAGCTGATGTAAGGGGGAGCTCTGGTGGGGACAGCCGATGTAAGGGGGAGCTCTGGTGGGGACAGCCGATGTAAGGGGGCACTCTGAGGAAGGCAGTTGATGTAAGGGGGAGCTCTAGTGGGGACAGCTGATGTAAAAGGGAGCTGATGTAAGCGGGAGCTCTGGTGGGGACAGCTGATGTAAGCGGGAGCTCTGGTGGGGACAGCCGATGTAAGCGGGAGCTCTGGTGGGGACAGCCGATGTAAGCGGGAGCTCTGGTGGGGACAGCCGATGTAAGCGGGAGCTCTGGTGGGGACAGCCGATCTAAGCGGGAGCTCTGGTGGGGACAGCCGATCTAAGCGGGAGCTCTGGGTGGGGACAGCCGATCTAAGCGGGAGCTCTGGTGGGGACAGCCGATCTAAGCGGGAGCTCTGGTGGGGGGGACAGCCGATCTAAGCGGGAGCTCTGGTGGGGACAGCCGATCTAAGCGGGAGCTCTGGTGGGGACAGCCGATCTAAGCGGGAGCTCTGGTGGGGACAGCCGATCTAAGCGGGAGCTCTGGTGGGGACAGCCGATCTAAGCGGGAGCTCTGGTGGGGACAGCCGATCTAAGCGGGAGCTCTGGTGGGGACAGCCGATCTAAGCGGGAGCTCTGGTGGGGACAGCCGATCTAAGCGGGAGCTCTGGTGGGGACAGCCGATCTAAGCGGGAGCTCTGGTGGGGACAGCCGATCTAAGCGGGAGCTCTGGTGGGGACAGCCGATCTAAGCGGGAGCTCTGGTGGGGGACAGCCGATCTAAGCGCGGGAGCTCTGGTGGGGACAGCCGATCTAAGCGGGAGCTCTGGTGGGGACAGCCGATCTAAGCGGGAGCTCTGGTGGGGACAGCCGATGTAAGCGGGAGCTCTGGTGGGGACAGCCGATGTAAGGTGGGAGCTCTGGTGGGGACAGCCGATGTAAGGGGGAGCTCTGGTGGGGACAGCCGATGTAAGGTGGAGCTCTGGTGGGGACAGCCGATGTAAGGTGGAGCTCTGGTGGGGACAGCCGATGTAAGGTGGAGCTCTGGTGGGGACAGCCGATGTAAGGGGGGAGCTCTGGTGGGGACAGCCGATGTAAGGTGGAGCTCTGGTGGGGACAGCCGATGTAAGGGGGAGCTCTGGGTGGGGACAGCCGATGTAAGGGGGAGCTCTGGTGGGGACAGCCGATGTAAGGTGGAGCTCTGGTGGGGGACAGCCGATGTAAGGTGGAGCTCTGGTGGGGACAGCCGATGTAAGGTGGAGCTCTGGTGGGGACAGCCGATGTAAGGGGGAGCTCTGGTGGGGGACAGCCGATGTAAGGGGGAGCTCTGGTGGGGACAGCCGATGTAAGGGGGCACTCTGAGGAAGGTAACTGATGTAAGGGGGAGCCCTGGTAGGGACAGCTGATGTAAGGGAACCCTCTGAGGGAGGAGATTGATGTAAGGGGGAGCTATAGTGGGGACAGCCGATGTAAGGGGGAGCTTCTGGTGGGGACAGCCGATGTAAGGGGGAGCTCTGGTGGGGACAGCCGATGTAAGGGGGAGCTCTGGTGGGGACCGCCGATGTAAGGGGGAGCTCTGGTGGGGACCGCCGATGTAAGGGGGAGCTCTGGTGGGGACAGCCGATGTAAGGGGGAGCTCTGGTGGGGACAGCCGATGTAAGGGGGAGCTCTGGTGGGGACAGCCGATGTAAGGGGGAGCTCTGGTGGGGACAGCCGATGTAAGGGGGAGCTCTGGTGGGGACAGCCGATGTAAGGGGGAGCTCTGGTGGGGACAGCCGATGTTAGGGGGGAGCTCTGGTGGGGACAGCCGATGTTAGGGGGGAGCTCTGGTGGGGACAGCCGATGTTAGGGGGGAGCTCTGGTGGGGACAGCCGATGTAAGGGGGAGCTCTGGTGGGGACAGCCGATGTAAGGGGGAGCTCGGGTGGAGACAGCCGATGTAAGGGGGAGCTCGGGTGGAGACAGCCGATGTAAGGGGGAGCTCGGGTGGAGAGGGGGTGGGGGGTGGGGGGGGGGGCAGCCGATGTAAGGGGGAGCTCGGGTGGGGACAGCC